TTTGCTCCAATTTTCTGCGTCGATGCCGTGGGCCCGGTGACCGCTATACAATTTAAAATCAGTTTGCATTGTTTACTATAGCTGTTTACAGTGTTCTAATCATTACGATTTACTTTTTTTTGCTTCCATTCTAGATAATTATGCTCAGTGATGTAAAATTGAAGCGATGACTGAATGAACGAACCTTGGCTGGCGAAGATGTATCTGGAAGTGTACACATTTGTTGGAAGTGAAAAAAATATTCAATGAAATGACAAAAATTGTAAAATGCTGTGGAATTTCTTTTGCAAATAAAAATATACTAGCAATTTTCTATTAATGGTTTATTCAAGTGGGCAAAATATAAATGTACAGAAGAATTGCCCGTATACACTGAAAAGTAAGCAACCGACAGCCTGTATAAAAGGGGGACTGTGATTGGCTGTTACTTACGCGAGATTTGAACGGGACTTACATAGGCATCGGTTCAGATGTAGGTAGGGCGGAATTAAAAAAAATCAAAATCAAAGTAAAATAATAAAATAAAAGGGCATTAATAACAAAAGTAATACAAAATAAAATTAAAACAAGTTTATAGCCAAAATAATTAAAGCCTGTACACTACATCAGATTTTAATCAGATTGGGATTTATCATGTAATAAGACTTTCTCTATATTATGCATGTATGTAAATGTGTCGAAATGGGCGTAGTGCGAGTGGTTAGTGCTAGTAGCACTAATCCGAAAAAGTACTAGATCTAGTGCTAAAATGGCACTAGATCTAGCGCTAAAATGGCACTAGATCTAGTGCTAAAATGTGCACAGTGCGAGTGGCATTGTTATCGCATTGTCAACAACGTCGAATAATAGGAGGGGCATCAACAACCACTTTCATATGCAAACTGCAAACAGTATAAAACATTGGCAATATGCGTGAGATGTCCATAATAATACTTTCTTTATATAATACCGGATTCTGCTGAAAAATCGCCCTGGGGATCTCACGGCTGATGTGCGCTTATTTGGGGTTCAAAAATTAAAAAAATAATTATCAAATATTTTGGGGGGGGGGACATTTTTATTGTATCCAACTACACAGACTTTCTACGCCGTGAGTTGGGCCACCCAAGACGAAAGAAACTATTGCAGAATTAACAATAATTAATAATTATTGCTGAATTAAAAAGTAGACCACCTGAAATGTCATTAAAGTGTCGCCCAGTGTCATTTTTCAAATACATTTGTTTTTATTTTATTGGTAACAAAAGTATATTTTAAACGACGTTTCTAATAAAAACGAACACAACTGCATTAACAATCCCGGCAAGCGATCACAGATGCTCAATCCGGACATGCTACGTTTCACAAACGTTGATTATTAGTCAGTAGTGATTATAATAACGCACAAAAAAATAAATTCGATAATTTTTATGAAATTCAAATAAAATTCAACTTAGTTTCATCGTAAGCAAATGATATAAACGCTCGATGCGGTAGGGTATCCGCCATGCGCTTCTCTTGCATGAGTTGAGCTAATAGGTCAAATCGCAAATTAACCAATCAAAATGCTGGATGATGCCAACTTGTTCAAATCACCATAGCTCATTTAAATATGTTAATGTTATTGAACGCAACGCGGAAGAGATTTGACGATGTTGTAGTACGCTCTTTTGGCTTGGATTTTGATGGGAAAATGGCATGATTTTTTTTTAAATAAAAAAATAGTTGTTTTCAAGATGACCCTTAGCATAAGAATAATAATTTTACATTGTTTACAGTGATAACAGCTCTTTGTCCAAACGGAGCTTACGCTAGTCAAAATAAACACGCTCTTGAATAAAAACTTAAATAGACTGATTTAGGCGTCAGGAACGATTGAAATGTCCGATAAATTACGACAAAATATTTTAAAAAATAAATTTAAAAACTGACGAAAAATCGCCCTGGACGATTTCTTGTTCCCATTTTTTTAACGCGACCATACACTGGGTTTGTTTAGCTGTGAGGGTTAAAATACGTATTTCACAACCGGCAATTCAACAGATGAACTTGTTACTTCACGTGTTTTAATTATTAGCAACTGTAACAAGAACAAGATTTCGAGAGTCTACAACAAAAAATCCTAAGGGCTTCTAAAAAATATTATTGCAGAGAAAGTGTCTAGACATACATAATATGATCACGTTAAAAAATTAAAAAATCGGCGAGGTTACATCATATTCCGTTAGTTCCTCCATGATACAATGTAACAACAGGATTGCGTGAAAATCGCAGTACACGCACAACCCACCAAGCTTTACTGGGACCCGGGACTTCCCCACAATACCATTTCATACAGTATATCTATTCACAATGTGTAAAAATTGCGCAGTTCGACCTGCAGTTTCACTGTTTCAGCTAGTTTCCCGGCCGATC